CGTTTAGATTTATGAGTTCGAGTTTGGATACCCTATCATCATATTTAACTGATAATGATCTAATTTCGGTACGAAAAACGTTTATATCTGATGACTATTTTAAATTAGCTAGAAAAAAAGGGATATTTCCATATGAATATTTAACTTCATTTGAAATATTAGATGAAACTGAATGCAGTTCGGGTAATGACCCGAACAAAAATATTTTAACAATAAATTTTCTGATAGTATTTGTTCTGATGAAGACTATGCATTTGCTAAAACTGTATAGGAAAAATTTAGATGTAAATCTATAAAAGAATATTTAGAAATTTATTTAAAAATTGATGTGCTTTTATTGACTGATGTTTTTGAAAATTTTCGAAAGTTATTTAAGAGTATATATGACTTAGACCCCTGTCATTATTATACAGCACCCGGTTTATCTTGGGATGCTATGCTGAAAAAAACAAAAGTTGAGTTAGAGCTTTTAAATGATATTAATATGTATAATTTCATAAAAAAAGGTATCAAAGGGGGTATTACACAATGCAGTTTAAGACATTCTATAGCAAATAATAAGTATACTGATAATTTTGATAATACCCAATCATCGTATTATATATAATATGTTGTTAATAATTTGTATGGATGGGCAATGTCTCTCCCTTTACCTTTAGCTAATTTTATATGGTGTGGTGATATCAACAGTATTAAAGTAGAAAATATTTTAGATAATTCTAATAAAGGTTATATTTTAGAAGTAGATTTAGAATATCCAAATTCCAAGCATAATACACATAATAACTTACCGTTTTGTGCAGAAAATAAAAAGATTAGTAATATGAAATGTTCGAAATTAATTTGTGATTTAAATAATAAAGAACGCTATGTGATACATTACAAGAATTTAAAACATTGTTTAGAACACGGACTTATATTGAAAAAAATTCATAGAATCTTAGAGTTTGACCAAAGTTGTTGGTTGAAACCATATATTGAAATGAACAATTCCTACAGAACAAACGCTAAAAACGATTTTGAAAAAAATTTTTTTAAATTATTAAATAATGCTGCATACGGTAAAAGAATGGAAAACATTGATAAAAGAAGAGACGTAAAAATTGTTACCAGTTGGGAAAGCAATAGGAAACATTTAGGTGCACGTGATCTAATAGCAAAACCCAATTTTCATAGCATCACTCATTTTACGAATGAAATGGCTGCAATTGAAATGAAAAGGGTAAATGTTTATTAAAATAAACCGATTTATGTTGGTTTTACTGTTTTAGAAATTTCCAAATGGAAAATGTATAACTTCCACTATGATTACAGCTTGCTAAATATAAAAATAATATATTACTTAATTATATAGATACTGATTCTTTTATATATACTATAAAAACTGAAGATGTTTATAGTGATATAAAAGATGATATAGACACATATTTTGATACTTCTGGCTTCCCTGAAAACAACACTTATAATATCCCTTTAAAAAATAAAAAGGTTCTGGTATGATGAAATATGAATGCGATGGTAATATTATTAAAGAATTTGTAGGACTTAGAGCAAAAATGTATTCTATTGATATTTTAAATAAGAAGAACATAACAAAAGCAAAAGGTGTAAAAAATGTATTGTTAAAAAATTAAGAATAAAAGATTATAGAGATTGTTTATTAAATAAGAAAATATCGTTTGCAAAAATGTTGTTATTTAGAAGTAAGAATCATACTTTATACACTCAAGCTTTGAATAAAGCCACATTAAGTTATTTGGATGATAAAAGATTTATACAAAAAAAACAATATTGAAACTCTAGCTTGGGGTCACTTTTCCATAGATTAATCTAAAATTTTATAAATGTGATAATAAATAAATAACTAAACAAGTAAAATTGTTTTTGTCTTTATTGTAACATAAAATATATAATATATTTTATTTTATTGCTTTTATTTTGGATCAAAATCAAAATCCACGTTTTTCGAGCCAAGGTCCGCTATGATAGTGTAGCATTATATCTTGAATGGTAAGTCCTCCTTTCTGATTGACATCCTCCCAACCAATGCAATAGAACTTGATGTCGTGCCAGTCTGAATTAAATTTTATATACGTTTCAAAGTCAAATTGCTTCAAGTTGAACCATGCAGCTAAGGCTTGCGATCTCAATGCTCTTGGTGTATTCATTGTCTTTTATTTTTTTAGCTGTTGTCGATTAAATTTCTAAATATATACTAATATTTAGAAATTAAATTTTATTTAACCACAATTATATTCCAAATTCTTTAACACATTTAATATGGGAGTGTAATTTACATGATTAGGGATAAAAAATATCAAAAAAATTCTAACATACTAAAACGTATGAAGAAAATATAAAAGTTTGAAAATTGGGTAGCATAAAACCACATACATCCCTCAAGCGTATTTTCAAATTGTATTAATTTAACCTTGAAGTTAAATAGCACTATAAAACCGTATAAATATTCCTCAAGTTAATAGAAATGATTATGCAATAAATTTTCGGTACCATAAAACCGCATACATCTAAATCTAATATTTAAGAATGTTAATGAGTGAAAAATCTAAAAAGAAAACATTTTTTTATTGTTTTAAAAAACTATAACTATAATTATTTATTTTATTTTTTATTTATACAATTCATTTCTTATTTTTATTAAATGTTCCGCTAGCTGATTGATCTGTTTTTTTTCATTTCTTCTTTCCACCTCTTTGTGGAATCAGTTGATGTGTTTCCTAATTTTTCATAATTGTTATTATTCTTTGAAAAATAATTTTTTATTTTATCCATATTGATTTTGCTTTTTGATATTAAAAATCGTAAATAAAATAACTGAATGAATAAATTTTTATTGTTCTCATTTCTTAAATACTATAAAATTGCTTAGATTAACAGTTTTATTAAGTAGACATTTTCAAGAGCGCAAATACCAATATGCTTATAAGAACATTTTTTTGAATAATAAATATGTTGATTTTCCAATTTTTTTAAACTTGTTGAATCATGTTTGGACCCCAAATCATATATATTACTATGCTTTAAAATTTTATTAATCCAATTCTTCTTTTCTTAACCCTTTACATATATGATTGTATTATTATTATTTATATAACATAAATCTTTAAAAAATTGATGGTATCACAAAAATGCGTTTGACCCATCCGACCATCGAAATCCATGATGTTTTTTTGTTAACCAGTTATTTATATTCTTAGTTTTAGATGTAAATACAGTTAGTCAAGAAAACCTTTTCCAAGTAAGAAAAAACTGAGAAACCCGATTTACTACTCCAATTTGGAGCCCTGAAATGCTCCTTTTTTATTTTTTTTTTCAAGAAAATTTATGATTTCAAAAATATTTACAAAATAATAAAAAAATAAATTAATTTTTGCAAAAACAAAAATAATAACAAAACAAAACAGTTCATTTTTCCTATTGTCAAGAAAACCTTTTCCATATTTTTGGTATTGCTCAATCTGCGTATTAATGCACTTCAAATCTTAACTTAATATTTTGTGTGTTTGCCTGTAGCTTCAATAACAGCGAATAATCTCCTGCTCATTGACCTAATTAACTTTGGTAAATCATATTCCTCAGGAATTTTGGACCATTTTTCTACTATATACCTCTTCAGCTGATCTCGCGATTTCAGGCTTCTTTGAGCTACTTTCTTTTTCAAATGAACCCACAAATTTTCGATAGGATTCAAGCCGGGGCTTTGAGCCGGGGTGTCAATTACTTTTGGGCAATTATAAACTTTATAACGCCCTGATAAAATTTATTACGCCCTTGTAGCCCAAATTTTTTAACACTGCTAATTAAATTTTTTTTTAATATGGCTAGATATTGGTGTTGATCCATTTTTTCTTCAATAAAAACAAGATCTCCTACACCCTGGCTTGAAATACAACCTCACACCATGACTGATAATTTTCCGAATTTTACCGTCGGAATAATATTTTTACTTTGTAGTGCTGTAAGTGGTTTTCTCCAGACTTTATTAGGTCCATTATTATAGTAAAGCATGATTTTTGTTTCATTGCAAAAAATGACCTCATTCCAGTAATAAGGTGAACAATTTACATTACTTTGAGTAATGTAATCGCTTTTTAATATTTTTTGCAGAAAGAAGAGGTTTTTTTCTCGCAACTCGTGATATGTATGCGTTTTCTTTTAAGGTTTTTCTCACCGTTTCATAGCTTACATCCGTTCCAGACTCCTCATTCTTCAATTCTGTAACCAAAACTCTGAGAGATATTCGCGGATTAGCCTCAATTTTTCTTAACAAACTTCTTTCGTCTCTTGCCGATAGTTTTTTGGTCTACCATTAGGCTTTTTTTAACTCTAATCTTTCCTCCTTTTCGGCACGATTTATAATGTTACCAATTGTTCGGGCACTCAAATTGAATTGTTCAGCCAATTTTTTTCTAATATGTCTATTTTCTTTATCCTTATAGTAGTTATAGTAAACTAACTGTGTAATATCGTCATTAATCCATTTACCAGGCATTTTAAAAAAAATCTATTTCTTATTATTTACAATGCACCAATTCGATTGACTATCAGTACTGAAGATTTAAAAAAATTAAGAATTGATTTGCAATTAAAAATCATTTACGGTAACTGTAATTTCAATTTCAAGGCGTCTGCACGGCGCCACGTTAAATTTTTTTATTAGAAAACTAAATGCATGTAACTTGGAAAAGATTTTCTTGACAATAACAAAAATGAATTACTTTGTTTTATTATTATTTTTATTGTTTTGTTTTAGTAAAAATGAATTTTAATTTTTATTATTTTATAAAATATTTCTGAAATTAAAAATTTTCTTGAAAAAAAAATAAAAAAGAAGCATTTCAGGGCTTAAAATTTGTGTAGTAAATCGGTTTTTCCAGTTTTTTTTACTTGGAAAAGGTTTTCTTGACTAACTGTATATGATATCCATATGCAAGTTTTATAATAAAATGCTTTCTTAAAAATAAATTCTTTTTACTTCATTAAACGATTTTGTTAACTTCACCGGTCAAAGGTGTGAATTCTACTAATCTATCTTGCAGCATAAGACAGTAAGCCGTTGTTTTATCGGGTATTGCAGCTGAACTTTTCATTTCAATTCGAACATCAACCGGTCCCATTTTTAGATTTTCATTTTGATAACGTGTACCTATTATCAAAATCATAGCTTTTTCTTTAAATTCTAAAAATTTATTAACCCTTTCCGGGCAGAATTTTTCAATTTACTTTCAATTCTATTACATTCAATTTTTCAAATTTTAATTGGAAAGTGGATTTCTGAGGTGGTATCTCCACGTTACCACTAAGCCGTTACATATATTAAGTTTTTTCAACATTCCTTTTTAATCTTTTTGATGATATTGTAAAAAACAGTTGTTATTATTGGATAAACATGGTGCTACTTCGCATACCGTGCAAGACCAATGTGTTTTATGCTGTTGCGCCTTTGAGCTGCAAACCGCACATCTCCTTGATGTCCCATAAATGGGCATATGAGCCGATTGGTTAAACCTTTTTTCATATGGCACATATGGTTTGAAATTGTTAAGTGTTTCTATCATGTTCCATGGGGCGGCCATGTTTACGAGTTTCCGACCGAGCACCTAATAAACCCCCGACAATGGCGAGACAAAAAATTTTCAAGTCCATTGTATTTCCTTCACATCTAGATTTATATATAATATGAGAATTTACCACTGAGACATCAACAAAAAATATTCTGTGCCACCATTTTTTGCTTTTTCTGTCTATTTCGTACACAGATTTTAACATATCTGCTTTATCTACATATCTATAATAAATAATAAATAAATAAAATGTTTGACTTAAATATAATAAATGAATACCCCATATGTTTTGTGTAATCCTTTACTAATTTTGGGCACTGTAATTCTTCTACTGTACCATCTTTATTTTTGCGGTTGACATACACAACAGAATTTTGATTATGAAAATTACTGGCAAAAAAAACAATACGTTTGTGCATCCACTTGACACAAGTCAATCCATCATCAGTTGCTCTGCAGTCGTATTCACCTCGTTTGAAAATTTTGTTTGATTTAAAATCTATTTGCATATTCTTTCTTCCTTTTCTAATAGTTCCGCATGCATATATATTTTCTTTTTTCAATTTCCGTAGAAGTGATATCGACGTGAAGTAGTTGTCAAAATATATTTGGTAATTTTTACCTACCAAAGATCGTGTGAGATCAGTAATTACTCTGGGTCCTAGCTCTTTTTCTACAAAATTTCCTATTTTCCCAGTATATATTTGAAATTCGTCTACATATCCTTGTTCGTCTGCCCGCACCCAAATTTTGTAGCCCCATTTTATAGGCTTTTTAGGCATATATTGTCGGAGACATGAACGCCCTTTGAATCTTATCATAGATTCGTCAATCGATATATTTTTTTTCGGTTTATAGTATTTTGTAAATGTTTCAGATAACGTTTTTATAAATGGACGTACTTTGTATAATTTATCATAATCTGGGTGTGTTTTTTTTGGCTCAAGTACTTGATTATTGAGATGCATGTTGCCAAGCAACCAATCAAAACGAGTCCGTGACATACACAACAGACATTTGGTTTGAGATAAATTGGTCTCTGAGGTCTTCTCGGACTGACCAGTAATCCCTATAGCTTGGTAATGGTTTTATACCCATCAAAATATTCATTCCAACAAATAATTTAATTTCGTTCGCATTTGTTTGAACAAAAGGTTTTCCATTTTGAGTAGCATATAAGTTCGTTTGAAAAGCTATATGCTCGAACAAAGAGTTTGGAAATAAGCAGTAAAATATATCGATTGGAATTTCAGCGTCATCCGGTATATTTTGGGGGCCAGTATTTTCAGAAAAATTTTCCGGTTCAATATAATCGAATTTATCTTTTTCCCATTGAAATAGTTCAGTAGCATTAGCATTATGTTTTTCTATCCATTGGTTCAATGGCAGATCGTCATCATCACTAAATTCCCATTCAGAAACTTCATCCGTTATTGCAATATTTTCAAACACATCGTCTATTTCAGAAGTATTTTCATGACAATAATCATCGTCATCTACCACAATCGATTCGACGTCGGAAGGAATTTCTGAAAACAATTCTTTGTTAATTTCATCTCTCAAATTTTCAAATTCGAAAAATGTCCAATTCAATCTACCTGTAAAAATATTTTTGTTGCGTTGAATTTCTGTGTATCTAGCTGCTTAGTGGTATATCTGCGATACCACCTACATTTTAGCGTGTTATAATCACAATAATAACTTTTCTTTAAATTTTAAATTTAATTTATAAAATGTTTATATTCCTATTTCACCTTAGTTTAATAACCTTCTAAAAATATCTCCTAAATTTTCAAAATCATATTCTGCTATATAAATTATTTTCCTTCCTAGTATAGTTTCAAATTCAATAGTTTTGTTATTTGTTAAAATGATTTTAGTTTTGTATTTATTCACTATTTCTTCTTTGATTGGTATATGATGAAGAATTATTACCTTCATCTGCTGAATGAACAGATTGTTACATCTTCTAAATTGAAAAGTAAACCTAAATCTGATTCATTTTCTTCTAAATTAATTGAAAAATTTTCTTTATTAGGTAAATATTCCGTATTCTTTATTTCTTCACTTTCATTTGTTTGATCAATTCTACTTAAAAAATCTGCTACCTTATTTTCTTCAATTTCAAATCTATAATCTTCTAGTTTTAATAACCATTTTTGATGTCTTGGTGATAAGTTTTTTCCTCTATATTTAGCATGTAAATATGGTCTAAAATAATTTACTGACCACATTATCGCTAAAAATTCCTTATCAGTGGCTGAATAATTTCTCTCGTGGTTACTTAATGTTTTAGATGCAAAGTATATAGGATGTCCTTTTTGTGATACTACAGCATAGTTCGATGCATCCGTTGTTAACGTGAATTCTTTCTCAAACTCTGGAAATCTTAATATTGGGTGGCTAATTATAAGTGTTTTTAATTTTTCAAAAGCATTAATATAATTAGGATCTTTAATATTTATTTTTACATCTTTTTTTAAATATTTTTTTATCGGTTGAGCAATTTTTTTTTTTTTTATTTTATCATTTTCGCATAATCCTTCACAAATTTTCTGTAATAACCTGTTAAACCTAAAAAACTTTTTTGGAATTTCTAATATTTCAATAACTTTAATTTTATTTGGATTCGCTTTTAATCCATCTTTTGTTAATACATGTCTTAAAAACTCAGTTTCTTTTTCCATAAAGTTGCATTTATCAACTTGTACTTTTAATTTATTATTTTCTAAAATTTTAAATATATCAGTTATATTTCTAACATGTTCTTTAAGCGATATACTAAAAATTAAAATATCATCCTAAATAGACTACGCACGTTTTATTAACGTAATCTCTTAGCATTTCATTCATTAGTCTTTGAAATGTCGCTGGTGCGTTTTTCAATCCAAATGGCATCCTATTATATTCGTATTATCCATGTGGTGTTACAAATGCTGTTTTCTTTTTATCTTCTTCTCTAATAAGTATCTGGTGATACCCCTTCGCTAAATCTAACGTTGTAAAATATTGTGGCCTACCCAAGTAGTAATGGGGTCACCTGAGCATGGGAAAATAATTATGCAAATGAGGCGCGTGCCACCTAGGTGCATGGCCTTTTTATTGCATATTTAATTATGACTGCATTCCTGTATGCTTGAATAGTTAATTATAACTGGATTCCTGCATATTAAATGAGGTGAAATTTCATTATTAGCTGGGGCTCCAAATCACTTTTAAGTAATAACTCATTTAATATGAATTGGTGATCAAAACTCTGTCCATTGTGTGCAATAACGGTTACTGTTTTAAATTCTTTTGACAATTTGAAAACGCAACCAATAAAGCTTGGTATTACATTTGTATCAATAACTGTTAATCTATATTTACACTTTGAACAGAAAAATAAATTCTCTTCATTTATACAATTATGGCATCTCGTTGAAAAAACACATAAATCTGCTTCATGTAATTTTGCGATTTGATTATATTTTTCATATACAATTTTTTCTTGTCTAGTTTCCAAATCGTAAAAAATAAATAGAAAATTATCTATGTTAGGTTTTTGTTTGTTAACTGTAATGTAGCAAAAATAATTTTGTTCTACTTGTTTTAGGCAATTCTTGCATATTTTTGTGTTGCATTTATGTGTTCCATATTTAGTAGAATAATTCTTAAAGCATGTTAAGCATTTACGCAAATTTATACAAATATTTTTAGTTACATGATTTTCAAAACATCTTAAACCTTTAAATGTCCGTTTACATGTTAAACAGGATATATTTTCAATAACGTTTTTGCAAGCAGGTGATTGCTGACAACATTTACAGCGTCCTCCACACATATGTCTATCTATAGTGTTATATCCGATATTACATTTTTCACAATAATAAGTTCTACAAAAAGCTGAAGTAAGAGAGGTAATGACGTTGTAATGCCTATTATAATAAAGAAGATTTATTCGTTTGCCCTCAGTTTTTCCTTCAAATATTATATTTTTGTTGTTGCTATAGTCATAAACCACTATGTTGTATTTATCACCAAAGTAATCTTGAATTTTCTTCAATTCAGGTATTCCAGAGCCACTTTCTTTGATATTTAAATTAGTATCTTTGACAAGTGTTAAAGCCAATTGTTTTTGAATTTTTTTGACGTCCATGCAAATTTTTTTATAATTGGGCTCTTTGTCAACAAAAGCTTTTCCTACCATAATAGCACGTGGTAGGCAAAGACTGTCTTTATTTTTTATGGTAACAATGCCTTTTCGTTTTAGACATTCTTCTTCAAAAGTAAGATATTTTTTTACCCTTCCTTTTCCTGAAGGTAAGCGAACAGTTGTAATTGTTATTTCGAAAGAATCAGGGTTAATTCCTTCTGTATTGCTTTGAAATATTTTGAATATCAGTTTCCAGATATCTTCAAACTTTACTTCACTTGCCTCTTTAAAGTTCATCCATCCTGGTGTTCGCCCTTGAAAGTTGTTGCCGTAAAACGTTATCCCAATTAGGTCCGTTGGAAGAACGTTTTTTACTGCATATTCAATTACTTCATTGACTCCTTCTTTGATTTTTAACAAACAATCTTCTTCTTCTGGTGAAGCTTTTAATTTGAAAATAACTTTGTTTGCCGTTACACCAAATTTTTTGATATATTGAGTTTTTTCAGCAATTATATCAAATTTTGGGGTGTTTTCTTTTAAAAATTTATTTAACATCATTTTTTTTGCCATGTTGTTAGTTACTTTAAAGTTATAATTATTCTAATAATATTTTAAAACATTATCAATTTTATATGTTAAAAAATACTTTGTGGAATGCGGATCTTGTTTATATTTTTATTAATCTAGATAACTGCAGTTATAATTGCAAGGTCAGGTGTTTCCATTTTTATAAAATTTACATAAAAAATTAAAACACAATTAAAAATTCTTAGTATAACACTTTTTTGGAATGCGGATCCTTGTCTTATAAAACATCAATTTATATATGTAAAAAAAAATGCTTTGTGGAATGCGGATCTTGTTTCTATTTTCATTAATGTAGATAACTTGCTAATTACTGTTGCAACAATATTCAAGGTCTTATTTTAAAGTAAGTATTTTTGTGTTAAGTAAAATAAAAAATAAAATACAATTAATAACTCTGTTTTTTTTTTTTTTTTTTTTTTTTTTTTTTTTTTTTTTTTTTTTTTTTTTTTTTTTTTTTTGCTAATTTACATAAAGTTTACATAAAACTTCTATTATTAGTATTTATTGCAATGTATAAAACTTGCTATTTACTATTTACAGGTGCAGCAATTTTCAATATAATCACATTTTAAAATGCAGGACGTGTCTATTAAGTTTTAATGAAAATTCTAATTCCTAGCATACAAAACTTAACGTAAATTTTTTTATACAAATGAAAGTGCATTGCAAGTGCAGGATTATATAAAACGTGACATAATTTTTTTTTTTATAGAACTAAAGAACGTACAACTTTTCTTTGTTTAATCACGTGTTAAATATACCGCCCCTATTATAATCGTGTTTCTAGTTTTATTTAGAAAATCATATTATTTGGCGGGAAGAGAATCATAAAGTAATTTCTTGAGTATATAAAGATTTAATTTTTGTTATACTTCAGTCAGTTTGCTATGAAAAAAAACATTAGATATACATATACCCAAATGGTAAGATTCTTTACCTTTATTTTTCCCAACTTTTAATTTGTTTTTCTCTAGGCGTCTTTTCTGGGGAGTTTAATTGCAGTAGGAAGGGGAGACAATGCAGATTCCTACAAGAAATTAGATGACCTGATCCTGAGGAAACTTTATAAAGTAGTGAATTGGCGATTTTTGAATAAAAATAATGGAGACACTGTGGTTCTCTGTGAAGTGGAGAGTCCGGACGATAATTCTCGGTGCACCATATTCATGCCGGACAGGTTTTCAAAAAAAGTAAGAAATCAAGAAGAATTAGATTACTTGAATACCAACCCTATGAACATCAAGTATATTGGTCGAGACGCCGACCGATGGAATATGCTATTATTCGAGCTTATTCCTGTACTGCACTGTACTGAACAAAAACCACCAAAAATACGAAAAGTTTAAATAAAAACAAAAAAATAAAAATGTTTTTTTTTCTTTGCCATTGTTAAATTACAGCATTCTTCTTCTTTCATATGACTACAAAAAAGGCGCCGCCTCGGGCCGAGCGGCGTACGCGCGTAAGCGATGCGAGCCGGACCTTAAGTGGCCAGAGGGTGAAAACTTGAGCGGCTAGAAGGCTAAAACTTAAGCGGCCAGGTTCCTAGCAACAAAGTTGCGACTCGAACCTTAAGCGGCCAGAGGGTGAAAACTTTGGGGGGTTAGAAGGCTAAAACTTAAGCGGCCAGGTTCCTAGCAACAAAGTTGCGACCCGGACCTTAAGCGGCCAGAGGGTGAAAACTTGAGCGGCTAGAAGGCTAAAACTTAAGCGGCCAGGTTCCTAGCAACAAAGTTGCGACTCAGACCTTAAGCGGCCAGAGGGTGAAAACTTGGGCGGCTAGAAGGCTAAAACTTAAGCGGCCAGGTTCCTAGCAACAAAGTTGCGACTCGGACCATAAGCGGCCAGAGGGTGAAAACTTGAGCGGCTAGAAGGCTAAAACTTAAGCGGCCAGGTTCCTAGCAACAAAGTTGCGACTCGGACCTTAAGCGGCCAGAGGGTGAAAACTTGGGCGGCTAGAAGGCTAAAACTTAAGCGGCCAGGTTCCTAGCAACAAAGTTGCGACTCGGACCATAAGCGGCCAGAGGGTGAAAACTTGGGCGGCTAGAAGGCTAAAACTTAAGCGGCCAGGTTCCTAGCAACAAAGTTGCGACTCGAACCTTAAGCGGCCAGAGGGTGAAAACTTGGGCGGCTAGAAGGCTAAAACTTAAGCGGCCAGGTTCCTAGCAACAAAGTTGCGACTCGGACCATAAGCGGCCAGAGGGTGAAAACTTGAGCGGCTAGAAGGCTAAAACTTAAGCGGCCAGGTTCCTAGCAACAAAGTTGCGACTCGGACCTTAAGCGGCCAGAGGGTGAAAACTTGGGCGGCTAGAAGGCTAAAACTTAAGCGGCCAGGTTCCTAGCAACAAAGTTGCGACTCGGACCATAAGCGGCCAGAGGGTGAAAACTTGGGCGGCTAGAAGGCTAAAACTTAAGCGGCCAGGTTCCTAGCAACAAAGTTGCGACTCGGACCTTAAGCGGCCAGAGGGTGAAAACTTGGGCGGCTAGAAGGCTAAAACTTAAGCGGCCAGGTTCCTAGCAACAAAGTTGCGACTCGGACCATAAGCGGCCAGAGGGTGAAAACTTGGGTGGCTAGAAGGCTAAAACTTAAGCGGCCAGGTTCCTAGCAACAAAGTTGCGACTCGGACCTTAAGTGGTCAGAGGGTCGATTCTAAAGATCTAAAATTGAAAGTAGTAAAAGTCCAGTTTACAAATATTTTTAAAATATATCATTTTTTTTTATTAATTCCATATAAATATTGATACAATTTTGAACAGCGCATCTTAACTTATTTTTATTATCATGGTGGTGAGGACATATGCAGGTGTAACTCCGTAATTTCTGTAAGGAAGGAATAGAGTCACCAAGGTCGACCACTTCTGCTGAACCCAAAATATACTTGTCCAAATATTCTTTCTTTTTGATTCCTTTGACATAAATTTTATTGAAGGATTCAAAACAAATTCTTAAAATTTCTGGCACCTCGCAATACTCAGTAATGCCGTCATCCCATGACAACCCATTAATTTCTTTTTTATTAAAAGTGCTTTGGTGTCTGGCATCACTGTGCAATTCGTTGCTTGCATAAAGCGGTCGAAAAGTGTAATATATGGGCATAAAACACCCGTCAGCTATCAAGCTGAGTTCTTTTAAGAAATATTGTCCGTTGTTTCCAATGACAAATTGCAAATCTGCTACCGCCTTGCTCATGTTTCTCTACCAACTAACATTTATGTCGAAAGTTCAATTACGTTTATATATATATTATTCTATCCCCACCCACTTTTAAAGGTTCCTGTAAATTTTTAAAAATAAAAAAACAAAATATTTTAAAAAACATTTGATTTATTTATTGTTGACCAGTATATTTTTTCTGGCAAAAACATTGGAATTTCGTAAAATAATCTAGAATAATTGCATTGAGCTATGTGCAAATTCATAGGTATATAAAGTTCTTCTTGATTCAATCTTAATTTGTTATTTTCAATACATTTATCGATATATCTGTACACGTATTCTCTAACATTTAGTTCGGCACCATTATTATAAGACATCACAGCTTGTAAAAAATCTAGCATTAAAGAAAAATGCGTATATTCATCCAGCTGTAGCGTAATTTTTTTAATTTTTCCGTCATAGTGAAATGTTAGACGAAATCCTTTTGCTGTTAATTTTGTTTGACTGTTAATGAAATCTTGATAAAATTTGTACCATTCCAAGTAATTCATCACACAAATGACTTTATTATGACGTTGAAAGATTATTGATGCAGCAAAGTTTTCTATATTAAATCCCATTGATATTTTTGTTCTTTGTTTTTTATCCAAATAATATGTGTAAGATAAAAACAAATTTGGTGCCAACGATAAATCGTTTTCATGTTTCCCAGTAATTGCCAAGTTTGATTCTTGTTCCATTGTTATTTAAACTGAAGAATTTGTTTTATGAACTTGTATTTATAGTTGTTTTCGGAAAATTGTATGAAATATTTTTTGCACTTTTTTATCGTTTTTAAGTGGGAATATTGTGTTGAACAATTTAAGAAAATCTCTCATGCTTTTACAGGAACATCGCATCCACAAATATACACAACAATATTGCCCACATACTGATGTAAAATCGCTTTGTAAGCGTTTATTATTGTAAACAAAACATTCTGATTGATTTCGTAAAAATTTTATTATTTCACTGTAAAATGGAGGATTTCCAAAAGAATCAAAATATTCAGCACAGCCTTGAATCGGTACAAAAATTGCTATCCAGTGAGTTCCCTTTTGTTTAGAAGTGTCGGAGTTCACGATTAAAATTCCTGGTTTTGAAATAGTTTTCGGTATTTGATCAAGAGCAAAAACACCTTTAAACAATTTGCGTGTTAAATAATTAGATTTAAGAGCTTTCGAAATCTGAAGTGTATTCATTTTTCGATATTTTGGAAATAATAATTAGGTTAATATTTCCTATTATATGTGTTGTTAAAAATTCTGCTTTCAGTTTTCCATTTGTTAAGATTATATCAAACTTTCTAAGTGCATCTATTAAGTTTTTAGTTGTATTTTTATTATCAATATGTCCAAATGAGTAATTTTCAATATCTGTTATTTTTAGATCTTTTATAGGAAATTTATACTTAAATTCTTTAACAACAGTTTTACATTTTTCTTTTATTCCAGCTATAACAATATTTTTTACAAAAATTGTATTGTTGTCATCCGTACAGAACGACATATCTACTAAAGCACACGTCATTGTGAAATGGAATAAATTTGCTTTGGTAGTTGTCCTTTTATATGTTTACGTAGACGTTTCGATTTTTGTCAATTTCTATGCTTGCATCAAATTCAGCAAAAACAATGCAAGTCAATGTTGAAGATAACGGAGAACTAAGTCTTGCTTCAATTTTGACAACTCCTTGGTTCAGGAGTGCTTGACATGTGTCGGTCCCCAAACCATCTGGTGATAAATCGAAAGCAAGAATTGTGTATCCTTTTGTAAAAAGCTCTTTTGAAATTTGATGACCTTTGTCAGAATGATGTATGCCTGTTCCACTGAATAGCGTTAAGTACGCCCTCGAATTGCAGAAATTGTGTGTTGAGAAACTTGTTTCAATTGGTGAATTGGGAACTGGTGCGCCATTTACATAAAGTTGAAATTGTGTCAGATTTTGATGATCAAAATAATAAGGATTTTTTGACCTATTTCCATTAAAATTTTCATTGCTTACCATGCAAAATACAATAGCATTTGGAATCTGTCCTATAAACACATTGTCTAATGAAATATTGGATGTATTTGCCGGAATGGTAAATGTTTTAATTTCACTTCTAATATACGGATATTTTGCATTTGCTTTTTCAAGCACTGTATTGTGTGCTAGCAATATGTTTGGGTTAATTGTCAAATGTTTCATATATAAAGTTGCTTCAAGAATTTTCAGATAACTTTCATCAGTATCATTGAAAAAAATAAAAAAATCTTGTTTTTCTAATGTTAATGCTATTCTAATGTCAACGTTATTTATAAGTAATTTTGGTGTATTGAAGAAATCCACATGCAATTTCCCCATTAATTCTACAATTGCAGAATTGCTATATAACTTTTGTCTAGACTTAGAGCCGGAATTATTTGAATCATTAACATTAGGCTTATCCAGTTCCCAACCGGATGCTTCCAAATGAGTTTGACTGGAATCTGTCCCATAATTTAATAAAGTTGTTATATATGCTTTATAGTTGTACATAGAATCAGAAGGAGTTATATTTTTTCCATGTTACAGTGCATTGTTTAATCATTGAGTGTAATAAATTATTTACAACACTAGGCTGAGGAGCAAGTTTTGCATCAGCCCCCGTTCCTATTTTATCACTTGTGCTCCAAAGTGATCTATCTTTTTTTAGCATTTGAACTTTGAATTTAATATATGTCGCAGATAAATCACCATAAGTATCTCCATTTCCAAGCGACACAAATTCTATCGTTGAAGGTGACGCTTCTAAGGAAGCTAGTGGATTGTACGCGACTTCTTCTGAACGTAGAATACTTGTTTGTACAGGTAATGAAGCAAAAAGATCTAGCTCAGATTTCATACATTCCATTTTTAATTAAATATATCAGAGGTTTTGTTTTGCTTTTTTCGTGGTTTTTTACTTGACTGTGACTTTTTATGCGATGCTTGTCTTTTTATAGCCCGTCGTCGTCGTCTTCCACCATACATTGAATGCAATTGATTGACAACTGATTTTCGTAAATTTTTTATTCCTCCTTTACCTTGATCAATTACTGTCTCTTTTATATTTGCACCAGATGCTATATCATTAAGAATATTTGTACCTGTAGTTAAAGCTTGTTTTTTAACAAGATCCCAGCCCGATGAAATAACTGGTTTTAAGTACCGGAGCAAACTTCCGAATAAGTTTCCAAAACCACGACCTCGCTGTAGAGCTGGATAAAACTGTAAAAACGGTCCGATGTCATTGATTCCTCCCCCCACTTGTGAAGAATAATATTTCACATACGCTCGTTCCATATCTGAATAAACTTGTTTTTATTTATGTAGAACTATTTATATTGTTTTACTTTTTGAAGTGTAACACAATTTTAGTCGGATAAAAATTTGGTACAAAATTTATTGTTTCACCATACTGATCACATATTTTTATTGCAATAGTTTCAAAAATATTTTTTTCTATAGGTACATACTGAATATTGCGGAATTCAATATTTGTTGGTTTTCTACAATTTTCTATATTAATAGCTCTTAATGCACGTACTTTATTATTTCCGAAAACAGATGATTCAACTATATCCGAATAAATCATTATCATTGCATTTAATTCATCTGTACTATTTGCAAAAGTTTGCTTGAACAATTCTGGTAATTTTGTTTTAAAATTTTTTATATTCTTTTTCTGTTTAAATATTTCAGCTAGCAATGTTTTAACGTTATAATTATGATTAACTTTTATGTAAAAATTTTCCTCTTCAAACGTCTGTGATATTCGAATTAAATCTTTTCTGTTAGATTCCGAAACTTTTTCAAATGTTACATCGTAATGTTTTGGATCAGAAATGTACGTTCATTTTTCATTGAAAAATTCTTGCATAACCTGATTACGAGTAAACCCTGAATAAGGAGTTATATTTTTTACAAGGGTTGGTAAAAAATTGAATTTCCAATCATCTAGATGTATTTCTGAATCATCAGATGAATAAAATAGTATTCCTATAGATTTTGTTACTTTAATTTTTTTATGAGGATTCAAAATGTCGGTTACATAAACTGTATACTCTCCAATATTAATAAAAGCACATTTTTCTCGTATAAATTTGTTTGTTTGTAGAAAATCGTTCACATATATCTCTGAAATACCTACATTCCAATTTCCATTACGTAGATCACAATAAGTTGGGAGCTTATTTTCAAAAGAAGCTAAAGTATTGTCGGGAAACAAATTTAAGTTGTCATTGCTGAACAAAGTAATGTAAAATTCATCTTGAGTATTCATCTTTATTAAATAAATTCAAACTACAAAAGGTTGCGCTATTTATATCTTGTCCAAGAAGGCGTTGATGATATTGTCAATTTAGGGCTTCTTATTAATGGTGCCAGTTTTCGTTTCTTAGTTTCAGGAAATTTAGACAATATACTAGGGGAAAGTAAATTGCCAGCCGACCTTAGTGTTTTCTTTTTTTCGGGGGATGGTACAGCAACAGTTATAATATCACCAGATGATGTTTCGTATATTCGATAATCCGGGCTCAAAGACGGCCTTTCAAGTAATTTATCATCTTTTAACGCTTCTGTTTTTCCTAATTCTTCAAACTGATTTTTCCATTCATAATCAGGAGTCCTTACATCAACATCCATTTGTTGTAGTTCGCTTTTGGGATCATATTCAAAAAACACGTCATCAGTAACATATGGTAAAAAATCTGTTTGTACTGCTGATGACTTGTATTCGGGTAATTTTGTTTCTGTGACTGCATCTCGCTTAGAGTAGTGCTTAGTTTGAGTCCCCGTATCAAATGTAATTTTATTTGGCTTTTGGGGTGTTTTTCTTTCGTAACGCTTATTTATTCCATGTTTCATCAAATTTTGCCTATATAAATACCATTTTTGAAGAGGCTTTAATTTTTTGTCATAAAGGACATTTTTCATTTTTTGATCCAACAAACTTAGATTTTTATCTTCTTCAAATACAGTTTTGAATTTTTCAAATATTTCAGGAGTTTCAATCATTTTCTGCATTATGCCCTGCTGAGTAGTTTTTCTATTACTCCGGAAAATATAGTTCCAATCAATGTGGGTAAAAATCCACCATGCTGGACTAATATTTTGCGTTTGGCTTTTATACTTTTTTGAGGACAAGCTAAGAATCTTAAATGTTTTTTATATTTTTTTAATTTTATTATTTGTGCTGTTGATATTTTATTATTTCCATTCAAAATATTAATTGCAATTTCTGCAATAGTTTTTATAACGTCATCATCACAATATTTTAGTAAATTTTTCCGCAAATTTTTGTTATGGCATGTTTTTAGTACACGCAACATATGTTGGTTTTTCTTCAATCGCTTCATATTTCTTACAAATATTTAAATCACGATTATTACAATAACAAACGCAATATTCTTCCGAAAAAATATTGTTTCTAATTCGAAATAAATCGTTTATGTCTTGAGTTAAATCCAACACAATATAACCATGTGGACTTGCAGTTGATTCATTATATACCCTGAGAAAGTCTTTAATATTTTCAGGAAACAGTTGTCTAGCCAGTGGAAAAATCTGTGATAATGGATAAATTACGGTGATGAGAGCCCTTTGTAAAAAGTTCGCATACTTGTTTATTAGCAGCGTCTAACATTAAATCATCTAAAACAATTAATGTAGATGTCTTTTCGGTTTCATTTAACTCTTCTGGTATGCTTGTAAAAAATTCTGTTTTAGCAAAATTTATATTTTGTGGGATTGCAGAAATTTCTGGGTTACACCATTTAATTTTGTCAATTTTTGGATAAACTAATCTCTCTATGTTTTTAATTAAATTACAAACAAATGTTGTTTTTCCACATCCAGATGGTCCTGGAACCATCATAGTGAAAGGATGATTGAAATATATCATTTTTCGATGATGGTTTGTGAATCATTGAAACCAAATATTGATGTTTACAAAATTTATATAAAAACCACAACCATTCAAATAATGTTTTTAATCGTAAAATGGACTTACAAGAGGTAGAAGAGTTTTTAAGCACATACTCTTTTGTTTTATTAAACGAACACAAACAACGAATTAATCACTTATATAAATATATAAAAGAATTTTCTGCATCTAAAAGGATTACATCAATATACGGTAACCATTTTGACCTTTGTCCTTGGGCCTATAATAATTCATTTTGTGGACCAGATACTTGTAACTGTTATACTATAGATAATTATATCACTGAGCTACGACAACTTGTCGACTGGTACAAAAACAATGTCAAGAAAACAAATTGTAGAAGAAATACATAGACCTGCAAGACGAAATTTTCGAAGAAGAAAATTTATTCAAAAAGGTTTAAACGACACCTGGCAAATTGATTTAGTTGAAATGATTCCATATGCAAAATTTAACAAAGGATATAAATATTTATTAACTGTGATAGATACTTTCTCAAAATATGCATATGCAGAACCAGTCAAAAATAAAGATGCAAATAGTGTTTCACTTGCTATGAAAAATATTCTCAAAAGTGCTACAAAAACTCCTAAAAATATTCAATCCGATCAAGGTAAAGAGTTTTTCAATAAAGAATTCAAAACATTGATGGATAACAAAAAGATTAATCATTATCATACATACTCCGAATTGAAAGCATCTATTGTGGAACGTTTCAATCGTACTTTAAAAAATTCAATGTGGAAGCACTTTAGTTTTCAAGGTAATTACAAATGGTTATCAATTTTACCATCTCTCATTGAAAAGTATAACTCAACTTACCACCATACAATCAAGCTTCCACCTAACAAGGTAACCAAGAAAAATGAGAAAGATATTATGAAAAATATATACATGCAACCAAAGTTATTTCAAAAACCAAAGTACAAAACTGGAGATTATGTTCGCATTAGTAAACATAAAGGAAATTTTGCAAAAGGTTACCAACCAAACTGGTCAACAGAGATTTTTAAAATTAGTAATACAAATAAAACAGATCCGATCACTTACACATTACTTGACTATACAAACACTCCGATTTCAGGTGCATTTTATGAACCTGAACTTACCAGAGTAAAAAATCCTGACGCCTTTCTTGTTGAAAAAATAATAAAAAAGAAAGGAAATCAAGTTTTTGTTAAGTGGTTGGGTTTTAACAATAGTCACAATTCTTGGATAAATAAAAATGATATATTGTAAATTTTGTTTTATTTTTATTATTTGTTTAATGTATATAACTTGCATCACACAAAGTAGTAAGAACTCTATTAATAATTTATTTGCAATAGTATTTTATACATTTTGCAAATCTCGACTTCCTTGATTGAATTGGAAATTTACATTGTACAATTTAATTTTTCTTCTGAAATATTATTTGCACCAGTAGACAAATTTACATAAATCGTGTCATTTTATTTGTATTTCATTTTTATTAGAAAAATAAAAATTAATCTTAACATACCACACCTGAGCTCTTATTCTTGAACTTTCAATTCAATTCAATTCAATTCAGTTTTTTATTCAAATTCATTAA